ATTTTAAAAAATTATTAAAAATAATATTTTTTAATCAAATTTAAAATTTTAAAATTAATAGACTAATTATAATATTAATTAAATTAATATATTTTTATTATTTAATTTTTATTTTTATTTTATTTTTAATAGAGGTACAAAGTACCTTAATCTTATTAATATCTATAGCAGAAAGGCAATGAAAATTGGAAGCCCCATTTCTCCATAATGACGAAGACATGACAGATTAAATCCCTTGGTTTCAGAAAAACCTTTTGCAGGTTACCTGGAACGAAAAATATATATTAAGAAAATAAGGCCATCTTTTTAAATTTATCCATACCACCATGTGAATATTATTATTATTGATTTAATTAAGGATTAAGTTAGTTGATTATTAAGTGAACTAGTGAGTTATAAGTTAAATCGAATTACTCAATATATTTTTAAATATATAATTAATTAAATTATATTTGTAGTCTTTCTATTTTCTAATATGTAATCTTTGTTTTTATTTTAAAATCAAGATATTTAATCTCTTATTTTTAAAAATACTAAATTTTAATTTTACTGTCAATTTGATATTTGTTGATTATTAAATTTTAATGTTATTTAATGATCAATTATCACTTAAGAGATATAATATTTAGAGAAAAAAATTAAAAATGACATACAAAATAAATTCTTATTTATAATAAGTGATTAGTATTTATTTTATTAATAAATTTTATATACATTATTTTTTTTAATTTTTTTAATTTCTAAATATCATATTACTAAATGTATAAGTGGATGTTATAATTTAATAGTTAATATATGTCAATTTAACGAAATAATCAAAATTTTATATTTTTAAAATTAAAAGGATAAAATTGTGGATAAACAAAAATAAAAGGACTAAAAGAATAATTTAACCTATATATTTTTATATTAATATATTGTATAAAATTTAATTTTGTAATGTATCGATCTATAATAATATATAAAAATCATTCATCATTTTTGAATACACAATTTTTAAGATGCTTTTATCTTTTATTTATTAAAATAACTACACAATTGTTTTTTTAGTGGAAGATTTGGCAATAATTTTATTTTATTAATTTAAATAAAATTTATTATGTTTCATAAATAAGTTATATCATAACCACTTTATAATTTTTACATCTTAGGACATTAGCCAGACATGGAGTGCTTTTTCCACTATTACCTATGAAATTTTCTTAGTTTTTTGAAATTCCAAGTCAGTTGCATCAGTGTGCCAGCCAACCTTAAATTGGTGACTAACACACATAAAGAAGAACCTTAAGTACTGACTAAAACACATAAGGTAAAGTGCATGAAGCTAATTAAAAATTGGTGGAAGCATGGTTGTGCCATAAAGAAGAACCTTGCACAAGAGATTGTGTGGCAAAACTTCAAGGAAAAGTTTTTGGAATAATATTTTCCAAACAATGGCAAGGAGCAAAATGAGTTTTAATTCCTATAACAAAAGCAACAAAATATGTTTGTAGGCAAGTAAGTTGGAAAGTTTGAAGATTTGCCACTTTTCTATATATCTTACTAGCAAAATCCAAATAAGGAAATGTTCTACAAAAACATAATAATGACTAATAAAACTACATGCGAGTAATTCAAACTATGTTTGGCCCAAACCCAGAGACAAACTCAAGATATGGATTAGGGGGTGTTGGCCCATCTTGACTTTTTTTTTTAATTTAATTTTTAATATATGATATTAGTATTAGGAAAGTAATATATAACTTATATTTTGTGAGTTTACTTATAAAAATAATATTTAATTGTTATTCATCTCATTATTATTTTTTGATATAACATTTTATTTTTATTTTATAGGTTTCTTTGCGAAAATAATATCATTTTTTATAATATTTTAGATAAATGTTATATTCTTATTATATAGTATTTATCGGAGATATAATTGTATTCTTTTTTTAGACAAAATATTTGAAAATTGTTTTTTTTTTTTTAATATCTGTTATCATACATTATTGTTATATTTTAAAGATTACAAATAATTGTATTTACAATTAAATGACCTTATTAATTTTTTATTTAAATTTATTAAAATTCTTTGTGACATATGAAACTGATAATTAATATTTGTAATATTGGATCTTAAAAAATATTTAATTTTTTTCTCTAAAAACATTTTTTATTGATGTTTTGATATATTATTAGCACAATTAATATTTTGAAATATATAATTATAAATATTTTATATAAAATTTGATGCACATATATTTATTAGACAACTTTAATTCTTGTAATTTTGGGAATACAGTTTTGGCCCAATGTTAAGCAGGTCTAACTCCAGCGATTTAAATCAACTCAATGATATATAAGTTAAATTAAAATAATCAGATTTAGTGATAAGATTGAGTTGGATCTTGTACATCCTGACGCCAACATCTAGATTCTAGACCTACCTTTTATTTTTGGGTAAGACCAAAAAGAAAGGTGTTAAAAGTTGAATATCCAAAGAAATTTAATACTAAACCTAAAAAGCTACATTTATATGCTGATTATCGTGGTGGGCACTTGCCTAAAAGAAAAATATTATGTGTATTAGAAGGAAAAAAGTATTTCGTGTTTTTTTTTTAAAGAAATATATAAAATAAAGATTTAAATATATTTTTAATCTTTCAAATTTAAAGTAAATTTATATTTTTAATTTAAAATTATTATTTTTAGTTTTGGTAATTTTAAAAATTTTATTTTAGTCCTTCAAGTTACCAAAGTTATATATGAAAGTAGCAAATTAAGACAATTATACAATATGAGTTTAGTTATGTTTTCACTAACAAAGACATCAATAGACAGATTTTATGCGACAGTATTTGACAAATTTTATAACAAAATTTGAGTATAAGAAATAAAATAAATTTTTTTGAAATTATAAAGACTAACAACAATTTTAAATTTGAAGGACTAAAATTAAATTTACTCTAAATTTGAAGCACTAAAAATATATTTAAGTCTAAAATAAATTAGAATTTTTACAAAAAAAATGTGTAGTTATTATTTTTAAAGAGATAGTTATTTTTTTTGTATATTTATATTTACTATTTTATCCTTAAATATAAATTAGTGAAAAAATATTAAATATAAGGGTATAATTATCTTTAAAATGAGTGGACACCAAAAAATGAGTATTCTCTATATGTATTGTTATGAATGCACACTCTCCATTTAAAAAAATGCACGCTCCTTTCTTTTCGCACAACAAAGATAGTAAATAGAATTATAATTTGAGAACTCTAGTGGTCAAGGAACCCTAAGAGTTAGGTTGTCTCTGGAATAGTCTCAAATATAATTAAGTAGGTTTAACCGCAAGAAAGGTATGTAAGATTTTTCTTAAGACATAAATCTCATAAATTTATGTTTTAAGAAATCTTAAAGAGAAGTTAGAAAGAAGTTCTTTGAACCCAAAATCTTCTTCTCCCTCTTTTAGACTAAAAACCCTTTCCTTCTTCCTTCCTACGACTGATCCACTAGGCTAAGTTGAAGATTCAAGGCCCATAGTTAAGAATCTTAATCGGTGAAAGTCGTACGGTGACCTAAAGTTCATCATTTTCTTCTTTCTTCTCTTGTGCTTGGAGTTAAGGTAAGGGAAACTTGTGAATTGTCGTCTGAATTCATCCATATATGTCTATTTGATTGAATTAAGTTAAGTAGTGGATTGTAGATGAGTTTGGTTCTTGATAGTGGTTGAAGAGAACTTGATGATGTGTGGATTGTGATGGTTGCATGTATTGTTTTAAGTTGATTTTGAGTTGTTTGGGACACATATATGTTGGATGATGTGTTACATGTCGGTAAAGTTCTGAGTTTTAGGTGAATTAGGTGAAAATGAGCTTCTACCAAATGAAAAACTTGTAATTATGTCAGGCACACTTTTATGGTGCTAGGCGTGGTTTAAAGTCAAAGATTCTCAATTCTCTCGACATCAGACACATGATTAATGGCGTTGGGCGTAAGGAGAAATAATTGTTTATGCCTGGACTGACACTTGGCATCAAAGTAGTGATGTCGGACATGAATCAAGTAAAGGTATTCTGCCTAATTGGGGTTGGGTGTGGACTTTTTCCACACCAGGCGTGAGAAAGTGGGAGGCTCTCTACCTCATCCACATTGAGCATGGATAGTTTAGCGCTTGGTGTGGACAAGATAGGAAGTCCCTTGCCTCAATGGTGCCTAGCATGAGCTACTTGACTAAAATATGTGTTTAAGTTGATTGAATGGTTGATGGAGGCTGAATTGTTTATATGATGAATGTTGTATGAGGATAGTTTATTATGCATTGATTAAGATAACGTATAGTGATGTTGATGTTGTTTAGTTGTAAGTTGGTGGATGATGACGTTGTATAGTTATATGATGTTATAATTGATTAAGTTGTTAAGCTGTTAGACATTTGGTATAGATACATATCTTTATTGTGATACATAAAAATTATAGGAGAGTAAAACATGTTTTAGAAATTAAAATATGCATTTTCTGGATATAGCTAGTGGTACTCTGATAGCTCAATTGAAAATCCTTCAATAAGTAATTGGTTGACTTCTGAATTGGTTGTTACTTTGAGTTATCTCCTTTAGGTTTTATGTAGTATCTAAGGTCAAGACATACATGTATAAAGCAATCAATTGAGTAAAATATAAGGTCGGGGATTTAGTCTCTGACTTAGTATTAGAAGGGCATGGTATTTGGAGGGAAATCAGTGGGCTAATTCCATAGGAGATTAGTGTTGCAAACTAATGTTGTGGTAGACTCATACCC